CTCTCTGGGGAGTTTCAGGTACATTCTCCTTACCGTGTTTTAGTTCAACCTAAAAAGAAACCCACACTGATGTTTACTGAGCAGGGCCTATTATGTGTTGATACTATGCTGAGCGCTGTAAGGGCTACAGGAGCAATTAAGGTACAAAGCCTACATGGGAGCCCTGTTTCCCCCTCTCCAGTCCATGTTGTTGGGTGTGGAACATAATAGGAGGTACTCAATAATTGCTGTTGAATCACTGAACCCTTCCTCCAGAAATTTAAATGGCTCCCCAATGTCTTCCATTAGAGGCCTTGCTTTGCCATCAGGCATTTGTAGCTTGTCAGAGTTTGGTCCCTACCTGTTTGTCCATTTCCCCCCCCCCCCCAACTGTTGCTCAGGCTGCAGGCCCATTTACCATTTTCAGAACATGCCAATGTCTATGCCTTTGGCCAGCCTGGAATGAATGCCTTGCCTGGTAATTGTCTGTTGTTATTCTGATGATGGATTCTCCCAACCTCACTGACCCAAGCAGTCCTTTCTCTCCTTCTATACCCAGCTCAAATGTCATCTCTAGGAGCCTTCCGACGTACTCCCACCTCCAGTTAAGATGATTGTCCTCCTTCCTATATTCCCAGGGTAAAAAAGACGACTTACAGAGTACCTGGTATGTACCAGAAACTGTTCTAAGCCCTTTTCATTAGTTTCTTCATTAGTTTATTTAATCCTCGCCACAAGTTCAACAGAGTGGTTCTGCAGTATTGTTAGCTGTCTTTTACAACTAAAGTAACTGAAGCAATAAAGATTAAGTAGCTTTCCAAAGGTTTCATAGCTAGTAGGTGTCAGAACCAAAATTGGAACCCAGAAGTGCAGTTGCATCGTGCCTTAACCACAAACTACCCTGTCTCTCCCAGTATTATATTGGTTATACCAAGTGCTCTTGATTGCCCTTTGTGGGTGTGTTTCTGCATTATGAGCCTCTATGGGCATGGCTATTTCTTTCCCATATTAGTACCCTCATAGCCCTTAAAAGTATTTTACAAGTAGTGGGTGCTCAGTACTTGAAGTACACTAAGTCCATCTTCCTGCTTTTGATGGACTGGAAGGGACCCTTTCTTGTAGGGACGGCTGGTCCAGCAGTAGTGTTCAAGGTAAGTGAGATTCAGCTCTCCTCGAAGTTCAGAACACAAGGCTGAGCCAGCTGCCGTGGGAACCCCTGGGAATAAACTACCTTACCTGCCTCTCAGGTACTGTCCAGCCTGGGCTGCTCTAGGTATTATGTACCTGAGTGTCAGGAAACCATGAAGGTCAGCGTCCTAAAATGCTCAGAGAGATAAGCAACACTGCCTTGCCCTTACGCAGTGGGACATTTTCCCACGGGGAGATTCCTGAGAGTGAATGACTAAAGGGAGGTAAACTACTGGGTCAACCTATCGGATGCGTTCAGGGGTTGCTTAGTGCTTCTGTAAAGAAATTCAGAGTACTTTTTAGACCTTCGGGATGTTCTCTTTGCTGCTCCTGAAGCAGTCCTGTGGGTCTAGGAAGGATCGATCTCTCTCTCTCTCTCTCTCTGTCTGATATAGTTGCTCTCAATCTTTATTATTGCTGTGACTACTACGATTTTTAATTTAAAAACTTACACATACTTGGAACAGGTGTAGACATCGCAGAAATCCCACTTTCCAAAGATCACCACCACTACCACCAGCAGCAGAAAAAGACATTTTTTCCCCCACAAATCTATACAAATTATCAGATTGCATTTAAAAAACAAAAATGGGGTTATTGTTAACATTTTTCCCCCAGCACCTTTCTTTTTTTCACATGACAGTACATTTGACCATCTTATTAGGAAGGGTCTGATCCTGTTCCAGGCTGGGTTGGAATTGCATCTGTATAGTCAGTCCATCTGTGGACCAGCACTGATTATAGAATGCAAGCACCACGTGGAATCCATGCCTTACTGCTTCCATAAAAGCACTTCTAATGACAAGAGTAAACACTCTGCACAGGGGCCTGGGTGTAGCCGCAAGCACCTGCTGCACCTGCCAGATAGCTTTGAAGTCAGATGTTTATCTTACATGTTCATTTTATTTTAATTCATTATCTATCACCCGGTAAAACTGATAGTTTAGAGACATGCATTCTCTTTATCCTGCGTCTTTGCGTACCGTAGGGTATACGTGGCTCCGGGAGACTTACAGGAAGTGTGTTGAGGAATATCGGAGTTCTGAGTGGACAAATAAGGAATTGTCTCAATCGGGGGAGAGGACTTCTCATTTTGAGTGATTGGACCCATGAGGTCCCTTCTGGGCCTTGTCTTTTCTTCAGGTTTTTGGTTTATTTTGAAAATTATTGCCATTAGGGATTACCCCTCTAGGGCAATCAGCCTAAAAAAAGGTATCACTTGCAGTACTAATACCCATTAGATCCGTTGACCAAATTGCTTAGTATTATAGAAAGCAGAGCCGGGAAGCCATGTAAGGCTGTATCATTCTGAGGCTTGTAGGATGATGATAATACCTAGATAATAATAAAAATATCTAACACTGATAGAGGCTTACTGTGTGCCAGGCATCTTCCTTTACCTGCCTTTTACCCTTGAGATTCAGAGAGATTAAATAGTTCGCTCATAATCAACACAGCCTAGTAGGTGTTGGAACCTGTGTATGTGCGTGTGCACCTGTGTAGGTATGTACATGTGTGTGCATACTGTGTGTGTGTGGGTGGGTGTGTGTGTGTGTGTGATGTGGTGCAGGAGAAGAGCCCTTCCTTTTCTCTGCAGAATTGTGCTGTGGCTCAGATCCAGCCTACCAGACAAGATTATTGAGCATCACAGACTTGGGTTACCTGCCTGGTGTGGGTTACACTCTGATGTGTGTGCAAATGCCAGCTGTTTTCACCAGTCCAAGTGGCCTGCAGTCAAAGGGTTACCTTTCTCTGGAGGCCCTCGAATTCCCATCAGTGTCGCGGATTGTCAGCTAAGAGAGCTCCGTGCTGGGACGGCTTGGTTCCTCTTTGGCCAGCGTGACTGGCGATGAGCTTTGAAGGTTTATTGCAAAGTTGGCCATGTGTCAGGCCACGTCTCACCCTGAGGTCGCTGGACTCAAAGCTTGCCCAGAGGAGAGTGAGGATGAAGAAGGATCTTGAAACCAAATCACATGGCTGAAAGAACTGGGGTTGTTCAGTGCAGAAGAAAGGAGGTTCAGGCCTGTGAAGAGTAAAGGGAATTCTGTGGCAGTCCCCGAGGGCACCCTGGGTCCATTAGGTAGGAGTTCTGAGGAAGAACTTGTAAGTTCATTATCAGGAAGCTAGAGGTGTCCGGTAGCAAAATGGGGTACCTCAGAGGGAGGCAGTGGTGTGTGTGGAAGCGCTGATGTGTCCCAAATGTGCTCTCACCTGTACATGGAAAATGTTACCTTCAGGCTGGGTGTCCACCCGCCAGGAGCACTGTTGGGTTAGGGGGTTCCTTCGTAGGCTGGCAGGTTGGCATTCAAAGGTCTTTTACAATCATATCCAACCCTGGGCTTCTTGGATGCAGGGTACTTTTTGCCCAGAAGCTGCCCTGTGGACCAGTGCAGATCTGTGACCCTGCAAACCAGGTTGGGGGGTGTATTAGTTTGCTAGGGTTGCTGCAAAAAGGTACCACAAGCCAGGTGACTTAAGCAGCAGCAATGTATTGTCTCACGGTTGTGGAGACCGGAAGTCCAAAACCAAGGTGTCAGCAGGATTGGTTCCTTAGGGGGGCTGTGAGGGAAGGGTCTGTTCCACGCCCTTCTCCTTCGCATGCTCACATGGTGTTCTTCCTGTATGCGTGTCTGTCTCCCAATTTCCCCGTTATATAAGGGCACCAGTTATTTGGGATTAGGACCCACACTAATGACCTCATTTTAACTTCTGTAACCTCTATAAAGACCCTATTTTCAAATAAAGTCACGTTCTGAGGTGCTAGGGGTTAGGACTTCAACATAATACATTTTAGGGGGACACAGTTCAACCCATAACAGGGACAAGCAGTGCTCTCATGAGTGCAATTGGCTGTGGGCTGGGCACTCTGGGTGCTGCTTTGGCCCTCTGGGGTTTTGTTGTTGTTGTTTTTAATGGTAGGATCACTTCTCTCTGGAAAATGTCACAGTAGGACCAGGCTGTGACAATAGGATGAAATAAACATGTGGCGTTAAGTACATTGTCATTGTTGTGCAACCATCACCACCGTCCATCTCCAGAATTTTTTCGTCTTTTCAAACTGAAACTCCATACCCATTAAAGGATGACTCAGCCCCTGGCAACCGCCATTCTGCTCTCTGTCTCTATGAATTTGACTACTCTAGGGACCTCATGTAAGTGGAAGCATATTGGATTTGTCCTTTTGTGCCTGCCTTATTTCACTGAGCATAAGGTCCTCAAGTTTCCTCCATGTTGTAGCATGTGTCAGATTTCTCTTCCTTTATAAGGCTGTATAATATTCTGTTCTATGTACGTACCACATTTTATTCATTCATGCATTGATGGACATTTGGGATGTTTCTACCTTTTGGCTGTTGTGAATAATGCTGCTGTGAACATGGGTATATCGACGTTTAAAAAAATGTTGTGATTGAACATGTACATGTCTGTTATAGGAAAAGCCAACACAGAGTCAAGTAGAAAGCACCCTCCTACCCCATCACCACTGTGTATAGTTTGGCCTCTATCCTTCTAGCTGTATTTTGGCCTATGGATGTGAAATCAGATCGTTCTGTACCGTCACGGAACATGAGCCATTTAAAAAAAATGTTTGAACTCTGTGAAACTGTTCAGTAGTTTCCTAAACAAGGAAAACATAAAACATAAGCAGTGAGGTGATGAGTGCCTGTGATGGGCCAGGCAAAGGCTGGTCTTACCGCAGCGTCCCCTGGGAGATTGGTACCATCATCACCAGTGCTAAGTAGGGGAAAGAGGCTCTGAGAAGCCCCAGGTCATCTGGCTGCTGCAGTCGCAAATGCAGGTTCATAACAGGCCTCTTCTCTCGTCTCTCTTAGGCAAATGTCTGCAGACTACGGCTGACCGTACCTCCTGAGAGTCCAGTGTCTGAGTCAAGTGGAAAGAAGGTTGAAAGAAGAGAGAAGGTAAGCCATCTCTGAAGCGAAGCCCTGACTGGTTCCCATCTTTGTACTCTTTTTCATTTTAACCCCTTTTCCTGCCATCCTCCATCCAGGCTATTCACAGAGCCTGCATGTCAGCAGCTGTGTGATGAAAGGCCCTGTTGCACTTGCCCCCCATCTGCCATCTTCCCAGAAGTCAGGCTGCTTTGCTGCCTCCTGTCCCTGCTCTTGCTTCTTGGTGAATGTAGGCTCTGTGTGACCTTGAGGCTCCAGGAGTGCTGGCCTTAGTGACGGGTGCTGTGGCTGGGAACGTGTTTTTCCCGAAAGAGCCTCATCCCGTTGAGTCAAAGGGCCCATTGTGAGCTGCCCCTGAGCCTTTCTCTGTGGCTGGAGCCGGAGGCCCCGCTCACATGGTGGAGGGGTTGCCTGGAGAGGAAGAGCCCAGCAGCAGCTCTGCCGCGGCAAGGGCATCCGGCTGCAGGGAGGAGTTGTGCAGGCGTTTTTGTGCCAGCTGCTGTGCTACACGCTGGGCCACAAAGATAGCTCTGACCTTGGCCTTGCCTTGAGAAACTCGTAGTTTTGCCGGTGAGACAGACGTATAAGTAAACCAAGATGACGTGATCGTTCGAGTGTTAGGCTTCAGAAGTGTAAGCAGGGCTCTGGGAACATGGAGAGTTGGGCCGTATCAAAGGACCCAGAAGCCTGTTTGAAAGGGCTCTCACTGGCAAAAATGGAAAAATTTCAACATTAAAAAGAATTAATGACAGTGATGAGCCGTGGCACATTGAATAATAAAAAAACCTCATGGATTTTTAGTAATAATCAGAGAGAGAGATTCAGAGAGAGATTATAAAAGGGAAAGCTGTTGTTTATATGACATCGGCTGATAAATTTAGAAAATCTCTGCTTTGTAACCCCCAGGTCAGGTCATCAATGAATGCAAATACTAATTGGTGGAAGATTACTGTGGAGCAGTATATTCATGTGAGCTCAAGAGTATTAGTACCTCACTGATCACTTACTGACTCTAAAGGTACAATATGCCACAAGATGGTAGCCAGTAGTTCTACCAGGTGATCCGATTCAGCATTACCAATAGTGGGCAGCCTGGTATTACGTGACTTCTGATGTGATACAATTCAGAAGTAAACAATGTTACCAGTAATATTCATGCCAAACTTGTTTAATTGAATCTAGTAATAAGGACACAGAAAAATCCAAAATGTGGGACTGTCTACAAAAAATTAGCCAGGCTCCCTTAATAAATTCAGTGTTATTTAAGAAAAATGAGAATCTATTGGAGATAAAAGGGATTAGAGAGACCTAATATCATTATAACGAATTAAACCTTAATTAAATCCTGGATCCAAAAAAAAGTCTATAAAAGATATATTGGGATAACTATACAGTTTTGAATATGAACCCATATATTACATATTATTGAATGAATAGTACTTTTCTTACTTGTGATAATGGTACATTGGTTACGTAGTTTATTCTTCCAACTTCTCCGTACCTTTGAGCATTCTCCAAAGAGAAAGTTTGCGGGTAAAATCTCATAACCAAAGAGAGCGGGAGTGGTCAGGCTTTGGCTGCTGGACCCTGGCTGATGACCAGGGGCCTGTGTTGCTGGGAGAAGGGGTCCCCTTCTGCCCTCACCAATCCCCTCCCTGTCCTTCCTTTCAAAGCTGATAGATTGGTCAGAGAAGTGGCCCTGGGCTGTGTCCAGGGGTTCATGGGCAGCTTAGCACATGGCGAATCAGAACGAGTGCTTGCTGGAGAAAGGGGCCCAGGCTGGGATGAGTGACAGGACAAGGGCCCCATATGCATGGTAGACACAGTGGGAAATTTGGTCTTTGGGAGTTAGACCCGAGCTGCACGCCTGAGGAGATGTTTGTGAGGGGCTTCTGGGCGCTGACACTGGGACAGTGGATGATGTGAGGCACTGGAGGGCATGTCACTGCACAAGAATAGTCAAGTATTCCCGAAGAAAGAGGAAATGTGTTCTATGTCACAGGTGCATTGGTAACCACGTTGTGTACTGATTTGCCTATTGGTCTTGAACAGTGCTTTTCAAACTTTTAAAAGCAATTAGACCCTCCTTTTTTTTCCTTTGTTTTTTTTTTTTTTTTTTTTTTTGATCAAAACGTCATCCTGAACCAGGATGTAATCCAGGTGAAAGTGGTGCTGGTGGGGGACAAAGTCCTTCCAGTCTCCCTGCACCCTACAACTTCCTGCCTGGGAACTCAAGGGGCGTGCGGAGAAATGCTGGGGGAGAGGATGCGCCAGGATGCTTCTTAGACTGGGGGGACCAGGTGTGCAGCCTGAGTGCCCATCTCTGATGCATCAGTGACTCACTGCAGAAGAACTGGGGTAGAGAGGAGGAGGGTGAAGCTGGCTGTTACCCCAGAACCGAAGTCCTTGGGTGGTGGCCGCACTTGAAGGTCCTGGTGGTAACTGTGAGGCTGTTCTGGGTGATTTCGTCACCATGTCCTAGCCAGGTGCCTGGTCTTGAGTCATTGGGAGCCAGAGGCAGGCACCAGCAAGGAGGCCCTGGGGGTGCCAGCTCCTCTGATGTGCCTTCGGTGTGGCTGCCCCTCTCTGTGACATCATACATAGCCCACAAAACTGCAAGATGCCGGGAACACTGGTGAAGTGACTTTGGTTCCTTTGGAGGGGTCTGCGGCGTGCAAAGGCGGGGTTTGGAGCTCGCTCGGATGTAGAAGCTGTAAATGGCCCAGTGGGTTGCTGATAAAGTGAAACTTCTCAGAGGGTTTCCAGGGCCCTGTTAGAGCTTCAGCCGGCTGAGGGCAGGACTGGGCCTTGTTCTTTTTCACAGTCATGGAGGTTGCTTAGTGTCTTTTGAGGACCTAAGGATGCCATGGGGCAGCTGGCCACACACAGACACCACTGCCAGCTGGGCCATTCTATCTACTGGCCCCAAATCATCAGGAAGAGGAATTACAGTGGAGCGGGGGGAAGGGTGTAGCAGGTGGTACAGGTTGCCCAGCTTCAGGATGGGGTGTTTGGAGGCTTCTGGAGGTAATTACAACAGAGGCAGCGTCTTTCTCTGGAGTCATGGGTTCCTTGGGTGGATGAGGACGGCTTCCTGCTCCTAAGGCAGATGCTCAGCTGCCTGCTTCTCTTTGTCTTTCTCTTAAGGAAGATCCCACCTGCCCCGAGACTGCTTTCCCCAGTCCACGGGTGGCTCCCAGACACTTTGTTTCTCTGCTATTAGTTTCCTCATCTTTCAAGTGGGCACATTGAGGTCTAGCTGCAGAGAGTAACTGAGCTAGTATATGCAAAGGTCCCACCACAGTGTCTGGCCTGTAACACTGATTAGAGAGGCGATGACTTAATGCCAAATTGCTTTCCCTTTTTTGTCAAACCCAGTGGCCCTCGTTCTTCGCTTTTCTCCCCTGTCCCCCCTGGAGAAGTCATTCTCCTTCCTGAAACTGCCTGTCCTGCATCTCCTCCTCCCTTTTGGGCTGTGCCTGCTGCATCTTTTCTGATGTTATTATGTCCTCCTCTGAGCATCCCTCTGCCAATACACCTGGGCCTCGCCTCCTCTCTCTGCACAAACCTTACCTCAGAGAACTCCTCCATACACAGGTTGGCCGCTTTCGGGAGGATGCACACCCCGTACATCAGCTTTGCTCTCCCCAGTCCTGTCCTGCTGGCGGCCAAGTTGGTGTTCAGTGTTCTCTACGTGGTGTTACTTTTATGGACAGATATTTTATTGCTGTATTACCATTATTTGAGTATTTAAAAGTATGAAATCTGGATCATTTATGAGTCTCTGCCCAGCCACACTCAGTTTATCCAAGTCTCCTCACCCTTCAAGACCCTACTGAAGGCCCGCTTCCCCACGACCTTCCTGGACCGCCTGTGCTTGGGTGATTATCCCCTCTCTTGAGCTACAGGACACCCAGGCTACCCTCTCCCTTGGCACCTAGCCATCTGCTGCTAAGCACTCCACATGTGTATACATACATATTCCTGCAACATCCGTGTACAACATGTCCATATATACACACACTTAAAAATGTGCAGTCTTTTAATTGTGCCCATAGTTGGCGCTTAGTGCGTGACTGTGGATTATGGTGATTCAGTTTTGTGTTAGTTTCCTTGGGCTGCCATAAAAAAGTTGCACAAACTGGGGGGCTTAAACAGCAGAAATTTATGGCGTCCCAGTCTTGGAGGCTGAAAGTCCGGGATCACGGTATCCGCAGGGCTGTGCTCTTTCTGAGGGCTCCAGGGAAGAATGCTTCCTTGCCTCTTTCAGCTTCTGGAGCCTGTTGGCAACCCCTGGCTGTGGCAGCATCACTCCAGCTTTACATGCTGTTCTCCCTGTGTGTGTTTGTCTCTGAATCCAATTTGTCCTCTTTTTGTAAGGACACTAGTCATATAGGATTAGGTCTTAACTCCAGTGACCTCTTCTTAACTTGACCCTGTCTCCAAATAAGGCCAAATTCTGAGGCACTGGGGAAGGGGGCTCCAACGTGCTCTCTATTTGCAGGACACTGTTCAACCCCTGATAAGTTTCTTTGTGGAATATTATCACCTTAAATTGTATTAACAACTCGGGCAAATGAGCAATGGACTTTTATTTATATATTAAACGTCATTAATTATATGGAAGAGGAAATGCTGATTAGTTTGTAGACACAAATTTC